ATTTCCCTTTTTATTTTGGGGGGATTCCCTCCCTCACAAAAATGAGATTATATCCAGTTGTTCCCAACAAGAAAACTTTCTCTTTAAATGTTTTGCCTAATATTTTTACCTTAACTGGATATAGAGAGTAGTCTTCTGAACACGGACCACTCTTGAGATCTGAAGCCCAGGTGACTTTCTCAGTGGAGAGGTGACTGCTTACATGGCTGAGCTAAAGGGCATGTCCCACTGCCCCCTTCTGTGCCCACTGCCCTCCCGCCAAAGGAAGAACTAACTGGCTACTGTGGAAGCCTGACCTTTGATTGCTAACATGGTCAGTTTCACAAAGATGTTAAATAGCTCCCTATTGGCTACATCTTTATTTCCAGAAGATTGACAACCCATTGGAAGATCATATTTGCAATATTCAGGACATGCAAAGGGTCCTCTGTCCCAGCCAGACTGGCCTGGAGACATCCTTGCTCCTGGGCCACCCCCACCCCCACACATGGAAACTCTCGTCATGGGCACACAGCTCAGAGCCCACCTCCTTCAGGACGCAGTCCTTGATGACCCAGATGCAAGTGGTTGCTTTCATCAAGAAGGGTGACAACTGGCCTATCAGGAAAAGAGCACTGGACCTGGGGACCGAAGTGCTGGACCCAAATACCAGCTTTGTGAGGGGCTCTGTGGGGTGGGGGTGGGGGGTCGGACTGTATTTGTTTCTAGACCTGTCTTTAACCAAATACCACAGATTGGGTGGCTTAAATGACAGACATTTGTTGTCTCACAGCTCTGGAGGCTAGAATCTAAAATCAAGATGTCAGCAGGCTGGTGACTTCTGAGAACTATGAGGGACACTCTGTTCCATGCTTCATTCCTAACTTCTGGGGGTTGGCTGGCAATATTGGGTGTTCCTGGGTACTTCTACAAAGAAGTACCACCCCGATCTCCACCTTCGTCTCCACCTGGCATTTTCTCTGTGTGCCTGTCTGTCCCTGTGTCCAAATGTCCCCTGTTCATAGGGGCTCATCCCCCTCCAACATGACCTCATCATAACTAATCTGTTTACAATGACCCTATCTTCCAAATGAGGTCACAGTCTGAGGTCCTGGGGTTAGGACTTCAACATAAGAATTTTTGGATGATACAATTCAACCCCTAACAGGGGCATTAGGAAAATCTCAATATTCCACCTGTAAAATGGAAATAAACTCTATTTACAGAGTTCTTGATGGATTAATGTAGCATCCAGCATCGTGGCTCAGGGAATGCATGTGTTGGATTTCATCTGTTCTCGTGTTGCACCTGTATGTTAATGGAGTCAGACAGGAGGGGAAAGAGGGGGAGACAAGACACAGACATAACTAATGGCTCCTTCCTGGGAGAAATGGGGACCCTGAAATGACTTCCTTCCTTCAGCTGGGTACCTGTCTAGGCAAGGAGACCAGCTTCAAGCAAGGAGCTCCCAGCTTGGGAGAAGGGCCAGGGCCTGCAGACCCAGGGGTGGAGACTTGGCTGGTGGGGAGAGCACATGTCCTCCCGCCCGGCAAGAGATCAGCCTGGGTAAATTCTTCCCCAGAAATCTACAATCCAAAAAAAAAATTCTAGAAAGAAGTTATTCTAATCTCAGTACACGTGTTTATTTCATATCACTAACACATTTATTTTTGTTCTGAATTACATATGGTTTAGGGACAAAGGATCTGCCATATCCTTTCCAGGGCTTGGTGTCTCCTAAGACCTTACAAGAGCCCTTGGAGAGCTTGGCACAAAAATATGTGGTTACATTTACAATGACCCAAAGAAGGAGAAAGAATGGTTTCTAAATAAATAAGTGTGGTGGCATGGGGAGCGCTGGTGAACTCAGGCCCAGAAGGGATCTTATAAGAACAGAGAAAAATAACGTTTATGAAAACACCAAAACATTTAAGAACAAACTAATGCCCCAAATAAGATGAGGCTGGAAAATTCATCTCAAAGTCTTTTTTGAGTTCTGCATGAAGGAAAGAGGTGAAGTTCTGACCAAAGTAGAGGGAGCTAAGGGGCAATGAGTTATGTCAGCGATTGGGCAGAATGTGGACACTTCTGACCTAGCATATTTATTATTATTATTGTTGTTTTCTTTTTTTTTGCCAAGTCTGTGTGGCTGTTGGAGGCAGCTGGCAGCCAATTTTATTCTGAGCTGGCTGCCCCCCATTCCATCCCGATACGCCCTCCTCAAGCTCTCCTCAGTGTGGGGAGACCGGTGTGGATCTTGTCCTCTCTAAATGTGCCATCGCTGTCCCTGTCTGATGGTCACTTTTCCAAAAAGGTCTCCAGACTTTACCGAATGTTCTTGGGGGGCAAAGTCACCACTGGTGGAGAACCGCCGCTCTAGAAGAGGATGAGAACTCACATATCTGAGCACGTGCTACATGCCAGGTGCTTTATTCATGTGATCTACAAATTGACCTTCACAATAACCTTGTGAGGTGGGGATCACAATGTACAGGTGAGGAGACTAAATTGCAGAGAGATTAACTAACTGGTTCAAGAACACTCCATTCAGCCTGGCGGGTGTGGGTCAGTGGTTGAATGTCAACCCACGCCCAGGTTGTGGGCTCTATTCCCCAGTGGGGGACATGCAGGAGGCAGCCAATTGATATTTTTTCATTGATGTTTCTAGCTCCCTCTCCCTTCCTCTCCCTAAAATCAATAAAGAAATAAAAAACAAACCAAAACCCACTTAATTCAGAAGCAGCAGATCTGGGTTTCGGAGCAGGTCTGGCTGCAGTTGACACAGATCTGTTTAGGTTTCGTGGGTGTTCTACAATCATTCGTGTCACTGTCCTTGCTTTATATTGTTCCTACTTCACAGAAAGGTTGAAGTCTCAATGTGCACTTCCAGCAGTGATTTCTATTTTTCTCCCCCAGGACTATTCAATGTGCTATTCATAATTGCACTGCGCATTTTCTCCAGCGTCATCTCAGAAATGCATTAGAAAGTGAATCTATTTTCATGGGGAATGCCTAGACGGCTCCCTCCGGTATCAGCTAAGATTATATTTGACTTGAAAAGAGTTCACATGTGACCACATTTCAAGTCAATGAGAAATGTTGTTGGTCAAGAATCAATTTAAAAAATCACTGACTCTTATTGACTACAATGTGAAATTGTTTTATTACAAATAACCTATTAAAGGTCTAACATAATTTAGGTTTTATAATGTTAGAGAACTAATGTGAGTATACTGTTTATATTATTTTTTCATGGACCCAACAAGACATTTCATAGGATTTGAGGACTTACTGGCCAAGCTTGCTGCACACCAGCACAAGAGAGCTTTTCCTAGGAGGACACTAATACCCAAAACCAGAACCATTTATACTTTCAGGTTGTGAGCTGTAGCCCTCTGAAATTTATTCATCTGTTTTTGGGTTTGGGACTCTTGTGTGATTTTTGTTTTGTTTTTCAGTAAACTTTCTAACTTGGAATAATTTTAGATTTACACAAAGGTTGTACAGATAGAAAATTCCCATACACCTTTCACCCAGTTTCCCTGATTGTCAACATTTGTGTACTTGTCAAAGGAACTAGCATTGGTACATTACTGTAAACTGAATGCTAATCTTTATATTTTTCTTCACACCTGCTTGCATACATGTCTGTGTCGATCTTAGGTGTTCAGCAGTGTTTGTCTTAGATAACTGAAGAGAATATTTTTCTTTGAGATAAGGTAAACTGAATATTGTACGATTTTGTATTTGACAGCCTAAATGTTCATTTGCTTTCCAATTTCTCTTGTTTTATGCAGTGGAAACAGAAACCATTTCATCTCTTTTAATTTTTTTGTAGTTAAAACTGAAAATGACCAAAATTTCCTAATAATTTCAAAAGGTTATGATAGAAGAACTTGCCACATTTCAGCCTCTGAGAATGACCCTATCATCTCCATGGTAGGTATTAAGCTCATTTTGGAACATTTTTTTCACATTTTAAGAAAATTCTATTTACTAAGCATGTGTATGAAGTTGCAGGTATCAGATATTCACACATGACCCTTTACCAAACGTTAGGATTGACTTGCTTTCTAACTCTTGTCTTACTGATATGCCATAGCTAAAGATTTCACATGAACCATACTGGTATGTTTGAAGGGAATTCCTTTCTAGAAGCTACTTTGAAGAAATCATGCAGCCTTGCTAGGCTGGCTCATGTCCTGTAAACTGGCACAGAAGCTAAGCTACAAGGCTTTATGTGTTTATTCTAACCATCACTAGCTCATTGTATTGTAAGCCTCAGGTAGGATTCTGTTCACATGAACCCAGGAACAAGGGGCTGGCAGGACCTTACCCCCTCCGGCTACTAAAGCAGATCCCAACAGGCAGCTCTAGGGCCCATCAACTTTTGCTTTCCAGTGATACATTCCAGTCTTAAAAAATTTTTTTTTTAAAATTCTACCCCGAGAATATTTTTAGATTTATCTTCAGGTAGAGTGGGAGGGAGAGAGAAACATCCGTGTCTCACATGGAATGGCTGCCCTCCGCATGACCCCAACTAGGACCCAGGACTAAACCAAGGTACCTGCTCTTGACTGTAATCTAACCCACGGTCCGTGGGCTGAAGCTCCAACCATTGAACCACGCTGGCCAGGGCCCAGCCTTAAATTTTAAACACCAGTTATGCCTGGCTGGTGTAGCTGTGGATTGAGCATTATCTCCTGGACCAAGAGGTCCTGGTTTGATTCCCGTTAAGGTACATGTCCAGGGTGGGGGCTGGATCCCCAGTAGGGGGCACGCAGGAGGTAGCTGAACTATGCTTTGATATTTTTTTCTCTCCCTAAGAAGACCAATAAAAACATTGAAGAACCCTAGTTATTAAAACCAAAGATTGTCTCCCCAGTGCTGTGGTTTTGTAAGATGCTGGGCCAGAGAACTTCACAGTACAACCTTTCAGTGCTCGCAACCTTTACTGAGACTTGAGTGGCTCTGAAAAGAGCCTTTGGTTTATTTCTTTCCTCTCTAGACGTTTAGATTCCTCACTTGCCCTTGGCTTTGTGGTGGCTCTCGGTCTTCTTGGGCAACAGCACGGGCTGGATGTTAGGCAAAACGCCACCCTGTGCGATGGTCACGCCGCCCAGTAGCCTGTTGAGCTCCTCGTCGTTGCGGATGGCCAGCTGCAGGTGGCGCGGGATGATGCGCGTCTTCTTGTTGTCTCGAGATGCGTTACCCGCCAGCTCCAGGATCTCAGCCGTCAGGTACTCCAGCACGGCCGCCAGGTACACGGGCGCACCAGCCCCAATGCGCTCAGCATAGTTGCCCTTGCGAAGTAAGCGGTGGATTCGACCCACTGGGAACTGCAGCTGGGCTCTGAACGAGCGAGACCTGGCCTTGGCGCGGGCCTTGCCACCCTGCTTACCGCGCCCAGACATGACTTTAATGAATCGCAGAAATAACGGAAGTATAATCAAAACACGCCCAACGGGGGGCCTATTTATAGTCTGCCGTAAGTTGTGGCTTGCCATCTGATTGGCTGATTGGTGGATGCCTGTCCAATCAGAAAGCATTACTGGAATCACTTCATTTACATATACGTCACTACCTGTTATCCAATCAGATGTTGGCTGCCCAGTGTGGCAGTTGAGGCTACCCCATAAATACCAGGCTTTTTGCCACTAACCGCTGTTCCGTGGCTTGTGTCAGTTGGAGCTCTTAAACTGAGCAGTCATCATGCCAGAACTGGCTTCCAAGGGCGCTACTATTTCCAAGAAGGGCTTCAAGAAAGCTGTAACGAAGACACAGAAGAAGGAGGGGAAGAAACGTAAGAGGTGCCGCAAAGAGAGCTATTCGATTTACATCTACAAGGTGTTGAAGCAGGTGCACCCCGATACTGGCATCTCATCTAAAGCCATGAGTATCATGAATTCGTTCGTCACGGATACTTTCGAACGGGTCGCAGCCGAGGCGTCGCGCCTGGCGCATTACAACAAGCGCTCGACCATCACGTCCCGGGAGATCCAGACGGCCGTGCGCCTGCTGCTGCCTGGGGAGCTGGCCAAGCACGCCGTGTCCGAGGGCACCAAGGCCGTCACCAAGTACACCAGCTCCAAGTGAAACTACTCTATCAATACATGAGCTTTGTAACCCAAAGGCTCTTTTAAGAGCCACTTATATATTCTAAAAAGTAGCTGTCTTATTACCTAACTAAACACTTGGGGAAAAAAGCTCAAAACTTTGTCGGCCTTGAGAAAGGAAAGGAGAGGGAGAGAGAGAAGCATCCATGAGAAAGAATATCAACCGCTGCCTCCTGCATGGCCCCCACTGGGGATCCGGCCCACAACCTGGGCATGTGCTCTGACCGAAAATCGAACTGGCGACCTCTTGGTGCATGGGTCGATGCTCAACCACTGAGCCCTACCTGCCTGGTACTAAGACAAAGTTTAAGGGAGACATTGGATTTAGATTAACAGTTAAGTATTTAAGTCTACAAGACTAAGCCCTGGTGTAATGCTTCAGACAAGCTGGGCCTGGCCAGTGTGGCTGTTGGTTGTCTTCCCACGCACCGGGAGGTCACCGGTTCCATTCTGGGTCAGGGCACATGGTCAGGTTGTGGGTGCAGGAGGCAGCCAACAGATGTTTCTCTCCTTCGTCTCTGTCCAAAATCAAATCAAAACAAAAGTAACCTAGCTGGTTATATAGATACTGCTCGCAGGGTCCCCAAGCTTCATATTAATAGATTCTGAAAGACTACCACCATTTTTTACAGGTGCCTGGAGGGTCTCTGATAATTATCAGGAGCAATTCTCCAAAGGGAGTTCTCTGGAAAGAATTGGTAATATGTGTACACATATTTTCTGGGGATGACAGTGCCCATAAGGGACGTAGCAGACCTTTCTCTAAGGACATCTTCCTCTGTAATCCTTTCAGAAGACAGAAAAAGCCTGAAGCTGTGGAAAGATGTTGGGACTTTAGGAAAGCATATGCTTTGCTTCCTGGTACAGTGCTGTACATGAAAAAGTTGGTCCTGTAGACCAGCCTAGCTGTACTCAAACAGCAAGAATTTAAGGCCCTTAACTCAGGTTTCTTAGTCTGATGATGTCTTCTGCATATTTCAGGTTTCTAGGCTCAAGTTGAGGACAGGTTAACATTTGAACCCAACAATTTGGCTAACTACAGTGTACTGGTAAACTAATTTTAACTCTCCTCTCTTTTTACATTTTCTTACAAGTTATGGTGTAATTTTTTTTCTTTTTTATTGATTTTAGAGAGGAAGTGAATAAGAGGGAGAGAGAGTTAGAAACATTGATGAGAGAAACTCAATCGGCTGCCTCCTGCGTGCCCTTCACTGGGGATTGGGCCCACAACCTGGAGCATGTGTCCTGATGGGTCATTAAAAATGGTGTTTCTGTCCTGTATTTCTGGATCATCTGGACTTATCTCAAAAAGCAGGTATTTAAAAAACCAGTGATAAGTCCGGCCAGTGTAGCTCAGTGGTTGAACATTGACCCATGCACCAAGAGGTCACTGGTTCGATTCCTGGTCAACACATACCCAGGTTGTGGGCCTGATCCCCAGTGGGGGGCATGCAGGAAGCGGCCAATCGATGTTCTTTCATCGATGTTTTTCTCTCTCCCTCTCCCTTCCTCTGTCTCTAAAATCAATAAAGGCAGCGGGGGAGTGATAAGACAACCTTAAAATAGTATCAAATTACTACTTCCCAGAAACCTGCAGATAAGCTTATCAAATCATTTTATTATGAATATGGAAATTAAAACAATGGAATATCACTTCTACTAGGATGGCTAAACTCCGAAACACATTACCAAATGTTGGCGAGAGTATGAAGTAACAGGAACCCTTCCATTGCTAGGGGGAATGCAGAATGGTACAGCCACTTTGGTGGAGGTGGCACTTTCTTTAATTTTTTTTTTATTGTCCTCACCTGAGGACATTTTTCCATTTTTTTGTTTAGATAAAGTTGGAGAGAGAAACATCGACGTGAAAAAGACACATCGAGTGGGGACAAACTGCAACCAAGGTATGTGCCCTTAGCAGGAACCAAACCCAGGTCCCTCTGGACCGCAGGCCAATGCTCTAACAGCTGAGCCAACCTGGCCAGGGAGTGGTGGCACTTTCTATAAAGCTATCCTGTTCCCAGTATTTAGCCAACTGATTTGTAAAGTTATATCTACCAAATATGCACACAAATACTTCTAATAGTAATTAGAACTGATAGTCTTATCATGTTTGAATACTATTCCGAGTTGCAATAGGCCAACCTGCCTATTCTGCTCAAAACTACATTAAATGTGAGCTAAGTAAACTTGGCAAATTATATTTTACTAGCTAAATTAGTTGTCGCTCTGGTGATAATGCCTGTCCCCGTGCATTGACTAAAAACCTTATAGCCCTTTAGGAAGTGTTAAGTGGCTCTTAAAAGAGCCTTTGGGTTAAAGCTCATCTGATCGTTACATCGTTTTACTTGGAGCTGGTGTACTTGGTGACGGCCTTGGTGCCCTCGGACACGGCGTGCTTGGCCAGCTCCCCGGGCAGCAGCAGGCGGACGGCCGTCTGGATCTCCCGGGACGTGATGGTCGAGCGCTTGTTGTAATGCGCCAGGCGCGACGCCTCAGCTGCAAGGCGCTCGAAGATGTCGTTGACAAAGGAATTCATGATGCTCATGGCTTTGGATGAGATGCCAGTATCGGGGTGCACCTGCTTCAACACCTTGTAGATATAAATCGAGTAGCTCTCTTTACGGCACTTTCTGCGCTTCTTTCCCTCCTTCTTCTGTGTCTTCGTTACAGCTTTCTTGAAGCCCTTCTTGGAAATAGTCGCACCCTTCGAAGTCAGTTCTGGCATGGTGACCGCTCAACTAAACCACCCCCCCCATACACAAGAGCGAACAGCAGTTGGAGAAAAGCAGCCTGGTATTTATAGGGTAGCACTCAACTGCCGTGCTGGGCAGCTGACATCTGATTGGATAATGGTAGTGACGTATATGTAAATAAGGCGATTCAAACAATATTTTCTGATTGGGCAGGCATCCACCAGTCAGCCAATCAGATGGCAAGTCACAACATTCCCGCAGACTATAAATTAGCCCTGCACCTGCCCTAAGGCTATCTTCTTTAATCCTGCCAGGTGCATCCTCCGCCATGTCTGGGCAGGGGAAGCAGAGTGGCAAGGTCCGGTCCAAGGCCAGGTCTCGCTCTTTCAGAGCTCAACTCCAGTTCCCCGTGGGCCGCGTGCACCGCCTGCTCCGCAAGGGCAATTATGCTGAGCGGATTGGAGCTGGCGCGCCCGTGTACCTGGCTGCGGTGCTGGAATACTTGGCTGCTGAGGTCCTGGAGCTGGCGGGCAATGCTGCCCGCGACAACAAGAAGACGCGCATCATCCCGCGCCATTTGCAGCTTGCGGTCCGCAATGACGAGGAGCTCAACAAGCTGCTGGGTGGTGTGACCATCGCGCAGGGCGGCGTGCTGCCCCACATCCAGGCCGTGTTGCTGCCCAAGAAGACAGAGAACTATCACCAGAAAAGCCAGAGCAGAATTGAGTGATCCAAACTTCTGGAGAGGAAAAAAACCCTAACCGCAACCAAAGGCTCTTTTCAGAGCCACTCAACAATTTCTGAGGAGGAGCTTAAGCAAAACAGTGATTATACAAGTAAGAATTGAATTACTACAGCTCTTAAACTAACAGGGCTCTGAAACTAATCTGGTTCAGATAGCCGAGGCCTTTGAAACTATTCATCTTAGTGAGCAATTAAGTTTGACGACAAAACTCAAGGGTGGGATTGGTTTTTAAGACCAAAGCAAACAGCCATCCTAACAGCTCCTGGCGGCGGAAATGTCATTCTCCTTGGGAAAAAAACAATTCAGATTAGGACTGTTGTGACAACACAATTCACAAGAAAAATTATTTTAATGAGGATAGGGTTAGACTATGTGAATGGATTACAAGCCAAGAAAGAAAGGAAATTTGTCAATCTGCAGCATTTGGCTCAACTTTTTGGACAGCAGTCTGTCCACAGCCAAGCTGGTAGCAAATCCCAGCATACATCTAGACCACATTTCCTCAAGTGCCTCTAGCAGGGCTTTCTTTCCAGTTCTAGAATGGCTTCATATCCTGAAATCTGTAACCATGGTATATTAATAAACCAACAGGTAAAGGGCACATGTAAATCTTTGACACCAATTTACATGAAAAACTAAAAATGAATGAGGTTTTCTTAGTGTGTAGGTTACATCTCAAATAAGCCTAATGTTATTTTGATGGTAAGATAATAGTATTGATAGAGTTAGTCATGTGACAAGACAGCTTTCTATTCAGGAATATTAGGCAGAATTATTCAAGAGGTTGAACCACTGAAAATCAAAATATTTTTTGCTTTTGTTAGCACTAAATATGAGTAAGCACACAGAAATTACTGAAAAATAGGAAAGCACCCAAATACAGAATTCTTGCACAAAAATGAAAACATCATTAAGTTTATGAGAGTCATTTGTTCCTTCAATTAAGCACAGGTTCTCGCTCTCTCCACCCTCCTGAAGAATACACCAACCCTTAGGGGCTCCATAAGGTGACAGTGTGTCAGCAGGGAGGGTGGGATGTCTCCCTCCTAAGAGAAGGGACCTTGAACTCTTCTGACATAAAGACAAAGAGTTAATAAGCTTGATCTACTTGTAAATTAAAAATTAAAGTAAAGTTAAAAATTAAACCATGAGCCAGTACAATGTACCCATTTCGTAACATAAGGCTAAAGGTTTGGGATGATCATTTACTTCTTGGGGAGCAACACACTTGAGAAGCTTAGAGAAATGTACTCGACAGAATGAAGACCCTGCGCGCTACCCCCCTCAGGTTAGCCTTCCATCTTTTGCCCTTAATGTTCTGCTTTTTCAATTCTGGGAATAGGCCTTTTCCCCAGAGGGAACAGCTTAATTTGCTGTTTGTGGGTTGAGATTGTGGGGATGGGAAGAAAACTGATCTTTCCTGAGATAATTCTGAAAAGTGAGAGAGGATGTTAGCTTTTCCTAAAAAAAAAACAAAAAACGGGAGCCCCAGAACTCCAGAAAACAAAACTGCAGGGAAGAAAGCCGTCGGGAAGGACAGTGGCAGAGTGTCTGTAATGCCTAAAGCATCTGCAGGCAACCAGCAATTTTAAACTATACATTTGAAGGTTAATGTCACCCAAACATTGGAACTACATTAGATGACCTGCAGCTTGAGGCTCATCGATGGACTTGTTTTGGTGGGATACATTAACAATCATTTCTTTTGTTAAGCACTGATACCATCTGTGCTGAGACAATAAATGTAAATGCTGACTTCTGGCAGAGGAAGATTTTCATCAGGGCTAAAAGAGCAAATGAGTCAAAAAGATCAGACCTTTCCAGTGAAGTTATGGATTCATTGGAATGTGTGGGCAAAGTAAAACAGAATGGAATCCCATGCCGCTCTGGGAGGTAGTTAATGAGTGAAGAGTTTGGGGCAGAGGACTTTCACTGGGGGTTGTGAATAAGAGCCTCCAGCTGCTGCTTCTGTGGAGAAAATGTTCAGTGCCGAGACCAGGTAGAGACAACGTGAACAATCAAAGCCCTGCAACACACCTTACGGAAAGTCTCCTTCTGCTGAAAACCAGTGAGTAGAGAGAGCAGGGACTGTGTTAATGCAAAGGCAGTAGACACAATCTGTCCTAGCCAGAAACACTGACAGGAGATGGACGTAAGAGTGACTGGCCCAATTTCTTTGCTGATTCTTCCTCACTTGCCTGGTCCCTAAAGAAACAGACAAGACTGATGACCTTCAAAGTTGTATTTCTACCTGGGCCCTCTGTCTCAAGCTGCAGATTCATGGACACGCTGTCTACCTGGCAATCTTTCCTGGCATCTGCAACCCAACATGTCCAAAACAAAATTCTTGTTTTTCTTCCCCAAACTGGCTCCCTGCCCACTCATTTTCTCTCCACTGAGCCCAGCCCCAGTCACCCATCTGCTCAAGCCATAAATCTAGAAAACCCCGATGATTTCCCTTTATCTCTCATCCCTGTATCCACCTCATTAGCCATTCTTCTGGGCTCTGTCTCCAGAAGAGACACCTAGTCTGGTCTTCTGCTCCATGACAAGCCCAGCCCAGACACCAGCTCCCACACAGTGGATACGACAGCCTCTTCCTGAGTCTCCTGGTTCCCAGTCTGGTTTGCTATAGACCACATACCACACAGCAGTGGAGGTAAATCAAGTCCCCTTCCTGGCAATGGGACCCTACACGGTGGGCCTCTGACCACCACCCTGATCTCGTCTCCCACCATCAGCCTCCTCACTGACCCTGCCCCGGCTGCACTGGCCAACTTTCCCGCTCCTTTGCCTGGAAGGCTCATGCTCAGAGCTGCGTCCTTCTCATCATCCCCATCCAGCTCCACTGAAACTTTCTCCTGCAACCCGATAAAGCAGACCTGGCGAGGTGGTGGCCCCTTCTCACGATGCTAGTTAGTGTGTCGCTGTCTCTGCTGCTGTCATTTCCTTCATAGCAAATGTTATACTTCCTTCCCCCGTCCATCCTGCGCCTTCACCCTGGAGGCTTTGCTGGAGTCATGGAGCAGGGTACATTGGCAGTGGAGGGTGAAGGCTGACAAGCTGACGTGGGGCAAGGTCGGCAACCATGGGCAACATGCCTGACACCTGGTACAGAAAACCCACTTCGGTTTAAGGAGAGCTGAGCTCTTCGGCCATAGACGCGGGAGAGAGTAAGTATGCAGGGCAGTCCACTCACCCATTGGTTCAGCAAATATCTACCGAAGCAATGAATGAATGGGTCAGTGAACTCGAAAGCATGGGGTCACTGGAGAAGTGCTGGCAGGTACAACCTTGGGAAAACATGTTGCTCTGAAAAAATTCTTTCCGCTCAGCTGACTGCCCGAAGGTGTGGACAGACAGGACCAGCTGATGGCGTTTGCAGCGGAACGGTCTGTGCTCTTTGGGCTGTTTTCTTCTTGGAGTTGCCAGAGCCACACTGTTTGCCAACAAGCATTACCTTGGATTTAAATTTGATTTTCAGTTTGTTTCTGAATCCCAGTGCAGAATGGAGGGCTCCTAGGTCTGATGTCTGGACCTTTGAATGCTGTACTGAGGCCACGTCCCTGTCAGCACAAATGGAGTAAGCAGGTGGCGTAGCGACGTCCGTGGCGGAATGAATCGCAGTGTGCCATCTCCCACTTATAGTTGAAAACAGTATCTTCACCGACAGAGTGTTTGCCTTTGTACTAGTAAAAGTAGTGCTCCACAGACAGGAAGTGGAAATGATTTCATTCCACTCTGGCCCTGCCCCCACTTCCCTTTGCATCTGCCAACCCCACAACTTCTCTGATCATTTTCAGAGAGTAAAAAGCCCGTTGGCTATTTTCAGCCTCCAAATAATAGCGTAATGAATAGGTCCAATCTGATGACATGCACAAAATTCCAAACTTTATCTAAAAGTACCCACCCCAGTCCCAGCATCACCAAAACTTAGCTTATACCTCTAACTCTGCATTACATCCGTGGGAATATCTCTGACTCTCTTTGGAGCTATGCATTTGAAAAGCTGTTTTCTGTATTTTATTGTGTATATCTAGATATTTAAAACAGATAGTGTTTCAGGTAATTAATTAATTTATTTTTTATCCTCACCCAAGGACATTTTTGCATTTATTCTCAGATAGAGCAGGAGAGAGAGAGTGGGGAAGAGAGAGAAACATCGGTGTGAGAGAGACCTATTGACCGGTTGCCACCCCTATGATCCCAACAGGGCCGGAGACAAACCACAACCAAGGTACATGCCCGTAGCAGGAACCAAACTCAGGACTCTCTGGTCCGCAGGCCAACGCTCTAACCACTGAGCCAAACCGGCCAGGGCTATTTCAGGTATTTTAAAGATTGTTATGTTTTAACGTCTAGTTCATACTGACATCAGTTGAGAGACAAGGAAACCAAATGGGAAGAATATCCCAATCCCTCAAGCCATCCAGGCCATATCCCTCATTTTGGAGAAGCAGAAACTAAGACCCAGGGTGCAGCTTTCCCAAGGCCACACCTTGGCTAGAAATAGAGTCTGGACAGTACACCAGGTCTCCCAAACCCTGACCTGGCACTTTCTCCACCAAGCATTTCCTGCAAATTCTTAGAAGAAATGGGGCAGTGTCGTGTATGATACAGGATTCTTCTCTTTCTCTGTATTTGCTTGTGCATTCTTTATTTCAGCAAGTGAATGTCAGAGCCTGGTCGAGGAGGGCCAGGATGTCCACTAGAGCAGAAGCCAAGGCCGCAGCGGGAGATCCTTCCCCTGATGGTGGCGTAAACTCGGCTCCCATGCTAACCTCCAGCAAAGGTGAGATCGTTTACTGGTTGTGGGTAAAACTGAGACTGGTCACCTCAACCCCCTTCTGGTAGATACAGCACCGACTTGCTCCCATCAAGTGCCAAGAATTCTATATAGCAATACATATTTTGTACTGATAATGATTTCATTCTTGCAATAAACCTTGAAGGTTTATAAAGCAGGTATTCAGACATTACTTATAGTCAGAGCCAAAAGTCCAGAGCAGACACTAAGTAGAGAATATGGAATCCAATCTCGGCTTCTTTGACTGGACCTCGGCAGCTTGCGCTGCTCCTGTTAGAACCAGACCTGCCTCGAGGGCTCAGCAGCCCCGTTGCACCAGATGGCAGAAGTCCCTTCCCCCTCCTTTCCTCTGTAGAATAACTTCCTGCTTTTCTAGAAAATGTCATAAGGAAAACTGTTGAACACATTTATTACTCTAAACTCTTAATGACTTTTAACTATGTTATTCATTCATTTTCTTAAGGATACAGGCTTTTCATAAGATTATGCATTTAAAAACTAAAACCCTAATCAAGATGGAATATTTTGTCATAGTCAACATTTTGGGCTGTATGTCTGCTGGAAAGTGAGCATGTTTTAAGGAAAAGAGGATTCTCCTAATCTTAGCCATCAAAGAAGAGTCAGGATGCATACATCTAGTTCTCCCTCTCCAACGAACTGTGGACCACTTGACTGGGGGACAGGTGTCTGCCAGCCACAGCCGCATCTGCTCTTGCAGTGCGTCCGCCACAATTGGCTCCCTCTTCCCTATGGAGGAGAAGCATGGGGTCGGGGAGAAAAGCACCCTGATTATAAGACCTTCTGTGCCTTCTCATCTCAGGCTTTTGTTCAGTCCGACATGGGCTGGCCCTCATGGTGCATCTCTGTAATTTTGCAATTTCCACCCAACAAATGAACTTGAGCATTGCCATCCCAGCCATGGCGAATGGCACAGCCCTGCCTGGTCCACACAACACCTCTGCAGAAGAACCTCCCCCTGGTGACCTGGAGAATGGGAATGAAACGCTAATGACATCTAAGGCAGTGGTAAGTTCATTGAGAGTCTGGACCCTTTCTGCAACTTAAATGGTTTGATCTATAGGGTTCTTTATTGAGCATCTACTATGTTCAAGGAACTGCATGTCACAAGAACCTAAGGTGTAGCTAAAGAGATTATATCATTACTTAGGGTCTATATGTGTGACCAAGAACTAAGTTTGAATTAAGGAAACAGTACCATTTCCTAGACAGAAATTCTTTACCACAAGATAACAGACTTATGTCTACTTTCTCTTTCTTCTTTCATGTATTTTCTATTACATTGCCTAGGAGACCCCTTTACGGGATCTCTTATATTTCCTTGTTCAGTTCATTGTGTAGCTGTGGAAACTGTGTAAGGGGACAGAGTATTTGGGCATATATATTGAGGTTTTCTCAATGAAGCTGGTAGATTGGAGTAACTGGAGAGAGGATCAGAGAACAGAGAGCTGTCAATTATGTTTTGGCCTCTCGGGTCATCACCATAAAAATGGTCAACTTTCCAACCAAAGATAAAAAGCAAGATTCTCTCTGGCATCCAGGCGCCTGTGTATGATTGGAGTCCTGAAATCCAGGGCATCCTCCTCAGCTCCCTCAACTACGGCTCCTTCTTGGCGTCAATCCCGAGTGGCTATGTGGCTGGAATAGTCAGAACCAGGCACTTGGTCGGCACGGCCTTGTTTGTGTTCTCCATCCTGAGCCTCCTCACCCCACTGGCAGCTGAGGCCGGAGTTGCCCTGCTCATCCTCCTGCGGCTCGTCCAAGGCATAGCCCAGGTACCGACTGGCTTTCTTGGTGGAGTGGAATCAGGATTCTAAAATGTCTCAGATAGTCAAGAGTGGAACTTTATTTTCCAGGTTATGATACAAACAAGTCAGTATTTAATTTGGGTGAAATGGGCCCCCCCACTGGAGAGGAATCAACTCATCACCCTTTCTGTCTCAGGTAATCGATGCCCTTGTCACCTGTGTGTGCTTTGCAAAGGGCCTTGTGACAGAAGTGAGACCTGACACCCACCTCCTCCGTTCTTGCCCGAAAGCACGGCCCTGCATGTCTTTCTTGATTATAGCTGCACACTCCCTGTGTGGAAATCCTTGTAACTGCTCTGCACCTGTAAATGTATCTTAAAACTCATTGTTTTCATTTTGCTCGTAAGGTGCATTGAGACACAAATAGAATAATACCTTCCCAAGGTCACACCGCAACTGAGTGGAGAAGCAGGATTCGGACCTCATAGCTTCCCTAACTGTACATCTCAGCCTTGTGACGAGGTCAGTCTGTGGGAGGCACAGAGGCCCGAGCCTGACTCATCCAGAGTATCCTCACGTTTGCGTTTAGGGTTGATGCTGGGCTACTTAACTGTCCTCCTTGCCGGTGGCTTCCTTTCCGAGACCCTAGGATGGCCTTATGTCTTCTATGTCTTTGGTGAGTTTATGCTTTTTTCAAATCTCAGAATTTTATTATGTGATAGCGAGTGCTGAGCATGGTTTCTATGGTCCAGTTACCATGATGGACCGAATCCCAACAGATGTAGATATTTATATCACTACAGTTGGTCATGCTCAGAGCTCATCATATTGTGAATTTTGCAAAATGACGCTGGAGGCTCGGCCAGAACAGCCTGATGACGTACAGGCACGATAACATCCCGTTTTCACACAGAGCCCCCAAGTGTGCCAGAGGAATTTCTTTCATAAGATGCTGAAAATATTATCTCGGTGTGGTTATATTTTTAGATATGCTTATTTATTTAATACATTCTTTTACATTTCTCTTATGATTACTATAACCAGAAAACTGGGGTGGGACCTAGTCATGGGTAAAATGCTGACTGGTGTTGAGAGCAGAGGGCAGACCACAAGACGCTCAGGAATGGACATGATACACAGACAGGGTCTGCAGGAAGTTTCTGAAGGCGTGGCGTAACCCAGAGGCACTGTCTGACCGATGTCTTCCTAAACTGCCTGGCTGGGATCTGCCCAGCTGGTTTCGATGAATGTTTGTGTGTGGTTGATTCTGAAACATTATCAGAAATCCCATCAGCAAACTGCCTGGGGACCAGTGCGTCCAACTGGCATTTTCACTGGAGGACAGTACTCTTAGGTCAAGGGTTCCCATAACATGAGGTCAGTATATTCACTAGTAAAAAAAATGTACTGTATACTATAGCACAGCGACCTCCAGTGGCTCTGCTTGGGAACTGCTACAGGGCAGGTCACAAAGATTATTTCGGTTGAGTGAGGCTGACCGTGCATGCTTTGAGAAAGAGCAAGGTTCGTACAAACTGCAAACTCACTAGATATTGCTGATCAGCCCTGACATCCTCCATCCCGTGTGCGACAGTGTGAATTTTCACACCAATCCTTTGCCACTTGATTCTAAGTCCTTCAATGGCAAAATTGTGTCTTTGTATTCTGACATTCTTAAAACCCAACGAAACGCCTGGCAGAGGGCGGCGGTTCTGTATCTGGGAAGGAGCATGTAGCTAGCAAGTGAAGAAGACTCAGGACTCTCCAATACTGAAAGGAAATTTAAAGAGGAATCCTATTTCCACCCCAATAAGGTCTAGTTGTTCTACAGTGTGATAATGTGTCTATTAGAGGAACTCTCCTTGCTGAGGATCCATTTCATTTCATACCTTCTAATCACTTCTGTCCTGCGGCCAACTCTCCGGGGCTGGAGAAGATATGGACAGCTGAAACGATGAAGGATCTTTTAACAAAAGTTTTTATTAAGACGGCGGCGGGCAGGACCGGAGAGGGGTGAGTGTGTGAGAGAGTGAGCAAGTGTGTGAGAGCGTGTGAGTGGGCGTGAAGGTGGACGACCAAACCCGAGCAGTGCAGAGCCGCAGAGCAGAAGGTCCCTGTGCTGTGGACGGAGCAGCCGGCTATGCGGTGAGCGGCCCTTCAGGGCTCTTCTCCCTGCACTGCGGGGAGGTCCCAGCATTTTGGAAGATCCCGGGACTTCCCTGGGAAGAGGCAGTGGGAGCAGCTAGGGCCCAGCAACCTGAGCCCACCAGCACACCTGGCACCATCGGACCAGTGGACACTCGGCGTCAACACAGACCAGTGCACAGCAGTGGAGCTCCCAAGGTGCCGGTCGTGGAAGCCGGGACAGCCCGGAGCCCAGCACCATCCCCCATAGTAGCAGCCCAATCAGAGTCGAGATATACCCCCAGCAACAGAGGCTGGGGAGCAGACATCCATCCCCAGGCAACAGAAGCACAGACCAGCAGCTGAGGTCCATCCCCAAAATCTATAGCAAAAGCTGAGCAGGAATTGAGCCCCATGGGGCAGCAGCACTCCCCAGCCGACAGTGGTAGGACCTGGGGCTCCACAGAGGTGTGGGCGGTTCGGCAGCTCACAAGAGCAGTGGGAAGCCGCAGCCCCAGAGGGACTGGAGTGATCCAGCTGCCCGCCCATGGGACCTGTGGGTGCGGGGGCACCAGAGAGGCCTGTGGACCCAGCTGTGCACAAGATAGGCTTACAGGATGTGAAAATGAAGGTAGAGAGAATGGAAGCTACACAGATGATCTCCCAGGACCAAATGGGAATTACAACTAAAATAAAGACAAATCTTTGGAAAAAAGCAACAGAAATGCGCAGGGCAGGACCATATAACCAGGGACACTGGTAGGATCTGCAAGGGTGTGAGAGGCTGGTGGGCGGGGAGCCCGTGGAGAGCAGCAGTCTTAGCTATGAGCAGCGCCCTTGGGGGAATAAAGAACAAACCAGCTCCACAGCACAGAGAGCCAGGACAGAGTGCTAAAATAGCCAAAGCCACTCACCTGGGAAATACGGCAGAGGGAAGATAGACTGGGCTGGAACTCTGTGGGGACAACCAGGATTTGGAGGGCACTCAGAGTTTTTGCTGAGTTGTGGCCACAAAGGATGGTGGCCAGTGTGCTCCTTCCCTGAGCTGTGGGGAAAAGCAGCAGCCCCCGACTCAGAGATTCAGCCTTTCCCAGGTGAGGCAAAGAAATGCAAATTGAGGCTCATTAACAACCAGCATCTATCCCACCCTCTGGAAATCCTCTTATGCAGAACACCAGGGCTACATTACAAGGCACTGAATAACTAAGACTACTAGCCTCAAGGAAAAAGCTAAAGGATAAGTGAACCTTTCCTGGGCTTGCAAATCTATCCAGGAAAGTAAGACTTGACTGTGGTGTTTAACGTGGGCACAAGCAGGCCCATCCAAACCCAGCAGAGGGAGCCACAAACAGAAGAACACCAACACCCACAGGAAAATTTGATAGGCTCCAAAACCCACTGAGATAGCCAAAATGGTGAAACAAATAAACAAATCCCAAGTGAAAGAACAAGAGAACTCTATTGTAGATGAGATCAATGAAATGCAGCTAAGCAAATTATCAGAGGTAGAGTTCAGAGCCATGATCTTGAGGAAGCTCAACAGCATGAGTAAGGACATCAGCACCATGAGTAAAGATATAGAAACATTGAAAACCAATCAAGTGGAAATGAGAATGACATAGCAGAAATTAAGAATACATTGGAAGGGCTAACCGGCAAAGCAGAGGAAGCTGAGGACCAGATCAGTGAATTAGAACACAGGGTAGAAAAATCAACAAATCAGAAAACCAAAAGGAAAAAAAAAAAAACAATGAAAAAACAGGAAGACAGCTTAAGAGAACGGTGGGACAACTGGAAACGTAATAACATTTGCATCATAGGCGTCCCGAAAGAGGAAGAAAATGGGCAAGGGTTAGAGAATATATTTGAAGAAATAGTGACAGAAAACTTTCCTAACTTGGTGAAGGAAGAAGGCATTCAAGTTCAAGTAGCACAGAGAGCCCCAAGTAAGAAGAACCCAAACAGGCCCACAACAAGATACATAGTAATTGAAATGCCCAAAATTAAAGACAAAGAGAGAATCATAAAGGGAGCAAGAGATAAGCAACAGGTTACCTACAAAGAAAACCCCATAAGGCTATCAGCTAACTTCTCAACAGAAACACTACAGGCCAGAAGGGAATGGCATGAAGTAATCAAGGTCATGAAAAACGAGGATCTGAATCCAAGATTACTCTATCCAGCAAGGCTGTCATTCAAAATAGAAGGTCAAATAAAGAGCTTCCCACACCAAAAAAAGGCCAAGGGAATATATTAGCACCACATCATCATTGTAAGATATGCTAAAAGGACTGCTGTAATTAGTAGAAGAAATAGGAAGAAAAATAGAACCACACTAAACAAAAATGGCAATAAATAAGTACATATCAATAATCACCTTAAATGTAAATGGTATGAATGCTCTGATAAAAAGACACAGAGTAGCTGACTGGATAAGAAAGCATGACTTACATATTTGTTTTTACAAGAGACCCACCTCACAACAAAACACTTCCATAGGTTAAAAGTGCAGGGATGGAAAAAAATCTTTCAAGCAAACGGAAAGGAAAAAAAAGCTGGGTAGCAATACTCATATCTGATAAAGTAGATTTCATAATGAAGACCATAACTAGCAACAAAGAAGGTCACTACATAATATTGAAATGATCTATCCAACAGTTACATATAGCCTTGGTAAACATATCGGCACCCAATTTAGGAGCACCAAAATATATTTAAAAACTTCTGGAGGACTTCAAAGGAGAAATCAATAGCAATACAATCATAGCAGGGGACTTCAACACCCCGCTGACATCACTGGATAGATCATCTAGACAAAAAATTAACAAGAAAACACAGACTCTAAATGAAGCGCAAGATCAAATGGATTTAATAGATATCTACAGAGAATTACACCCCAAAACCACAGAATTCACATTCTTCTCAAGTGCACATGGGACATTCTCAAAGACAGACCACATGTTAGGACACAAACTCAGTCTCTACAAGTTCAGGAAGACTGAAATCATATCAAGCATCTTCTCAGATCACAATGACATGAAATTAGAAATCAATTGCAACAAGAACATGCAAAGACATTTGAAAACATGGAGGCTAAATAGCATGTTATTTAACAATGAATGGGTTACCATGGAGATCAAGGAAGAAATAAAAACTTACTGGAAACCAATGAAAATGAACACACAACAACACAAAATCTATGGGATGCAGCAAAAGCTGTTCTGAGAGAGGGAAGTTCATAGCACTACAGGCCTACCTCAAGAAGCAAGAAAAATCTCTAATAGACTATCTAACCTCACAACTTAAAGAACTAGAAAGCAAACAAAAAGAAACCCCAGAGCAAGTAGAAGGAAGGAAATAGTAAAGATTAGAACAGCAATAAATGACATGGAGACCAAAAAAACAATTCAAAGAATCAGTGAAACAAAGAGCTGGTTCTTTGAAAAGATAAACAAGATTCATGGACCCTTAGCTAGACTTACCAAGAAACAAAGAGATAGAACCCAAATACACAAAATCAGAAATGAAAGAGGAGAAATAATAACTGACACC